GATGGATGGATGGATGGATGGATGGATGGATGGATGGATGGATGGATAGAACTAATATTTTGGCACAGTCTTCTAAATCTCAAACTGATGCATCTCAAAGAGGCTGTCTAAATACAAATTGGTGGAGATACAAACTGAGCATTAGAAGCTGATGATGAAACATTTAATTCATTAGAAACTTTATTTATTTTACTGATTATTTTGTTCAGCATTAAACCCATCCTCGTCTTTTTTTGCGTCCATTCAGCTGGATGAGAGCTGCTTTTTAAAAGAGAAAATCCCTCCACCAGTTAGCCTAACTGTGTGTGTGAGCTTGTTTGTCTGTTAGCAAAATATCTCATGAACTACCAGGCACAATTTAATAAAACTCTTACAAAGTAAGCACTGGATGTACGTCTACAACCAGTTATTTTTTTAAGTTGAAACAATTCAAGATGGCTGCCACAGCTCATTGTTCAAAAATGCCTATAAATCAGTCAACTTTACAGGTAGTGAGCTGAAAGTCAGAGGGGTAGTAGCTGAGAGGCATCCTCCTCACACACTCTGAGCACAAACAGATGGCGTGAGCTCTTTCTTTGAATTTGACATGCAAAATGGTGGGCGATAAGCATTACTTTAAGAAAATGTAATATGGGATGTATTGTCTCTGCAGTCTTTCATTCCAACAGTAAAACAATCATTGAATATTGCATAAACTCAGTAAAACAGTTCAAATCCCTGAAGTGTGGTTTTAAGCTGCAAAATGCACAACTGTTCCATGAAAACATATTTTGCAAGAGTTACATTGTTTATTCTTACCCAGCCTCTTTAGATATTCATTTTTAAACATTTCCCATGCATAAATGGATTCCAGCTTTTTATACATTTTCATAATAAACCATTTATTTGTTCTAAACTTTGTACAATACATATGATTATTGCATCACACAGGTAATTGCTTCCTAATGTTAGTTATTATTTTTGATTGTTTCCATGCCAACTATCTACAGAAATAGGGTTTTTAGTGTTTTGCAGTGCTGTGTGAAGTCATTTAGTCAATTAGCTTAGATAAAAAGTTATTAAAAAGGGTTTAACTCAATGCACTCCACAAATGTCTTTAAATGTTGATGTTATCAGTTAGCTTGCAGAGGTTTCAGAGTCAATAGTATAGGTTTGTCTGGTAAGAGGATGAGCTCGAAGGTGCTCCTCGCTTCCACGTTGTGATGCTTCTCAACTCGAAAATTCTCAAGCATCTGCAAAATAAAAAAAAAAAGAGAATTTAAGAATTTCATTTCATCTGCAGAGGTGCAACTTAATGTAGTGAAACTGCTATTTCCTGTTTGTGTGTTTCTCACATGGATCAGGAAGATTTGCATCTCCGCCTCGGCTATTCTGCGTCCTAAACACTGTCGGGGTCCGAAACCGAAGCCCAGGCTCTTGAAGTACTGAGTCCCTGTCCTCAGCCAGCGGGACGGCTGGTACTGCTTGGGCTGAAAAAACACCTTGGAGTCTCTGCCCATCGCATACAGACCTAACTGGACCAAGGTCTAAACACACACGAGCAAACATCATAATATGAATCCTGGTTGGCATTTTCTTTTTCTTTTGTCCATTTATTATGAGCAAACTCTTTCAAGTTCAAGTAGATTTTATTGTCATTTCACCACAAGTGGTACATGAGGTGGAACAAAATAATGTACACAGGGTCCCAGTTACAACCAACAATAGCAAAAACAAAAGCAGAAGACTTCTGCATACTTTAAGTAATTTTGTCCATTTATGTACTGTAACTGTTGGCTGCTTCAGAAAGGCTCTACGATTTTTGGTTTTGGTCAAATAATTGTTTCTCTCAAATATTTAGCTACTTTTGGCTTTTAGCTAGTGATTTGCTATAAATAGATTTTGGTTAATGTTTTGCAGTTAACAGCTAAAATATTGCTACTTTTAAAATATAGCTACCCTTTTCATATTTTTAGCTAGCCTTTTCTCTAATTTTAGCTTGCCTTTTGCTACTTTTAGTTAGT